CCAAACGTCGGCTGCCAAAGCCTCAGCTTACTGGCTCCTCGTTACTGTTCTGGGGAGCAACTGTTGCTTTTTTAGCGCTGCTCTGCAAGGCAGAGCTGGGTAGTTCTAGTTTGCAGTAGTCATCTCCAGATATTCTAGGGTCGCTCATATTTTTAATATTTTAAGAAGGATATAGCTTTTATTTCGATATAAGAATATATTGGTGTTTTAAAAAGTGGCCTCCTTAACTTGTGGTGAAATTTAATTCCTTCAAAATCCTCTTTCCACTGACAATTTTACTGTGATGCAGAAGAGGTTGGTGTATGGGAGAACTAGAGTCCTGTATGCTAAAAAAAGCAGGCAAATTTCTTCCAAAAGAGGAAACAATTACTAAATTTTTTTTTTTTTTTAGCCTTGAAACAGCTAGTTGAATTACAACACGTAGAAATACGTGCAGAAAATTCACAGCAAGCAGTACTCAGAAGCCCACGGCAGGCGGGCGCCCATCTCTGGCTCTACCGAGCCCCCCGGGTGCCTGGGGCCCGGCTGCACCAGGCGCTGGCGGCCGAGCCCCCGGCCCGGGCTGCCCGCTGGCGGCCGAGCCCCGGTCTCGGGCTGCCATCTGGTGAGAGCAGCCTCAGTGACAAGGCCTGGCTGCTGCAGCCAGCCTTCCAAGAAAGCCTGCTTGTTTCTTTGCTTTTGTTTTAAAACCCAGCTCTTAAATCACTGAAATTTCCTGAAAATATTCGGGATTATTATCTGCCTCCTGATTGCCGTGCCACTAAGATATATTTGGATTATGTTTCCAAGCGCTTTCTTGTTTTCTTCACACACAAAAAAAGCCAGACTTTTTTATTCACCCTAAAGTGGTATCTGCAATTTCAGATGACAGGGAGCCAGGACTGTAAGGAAATAATGAATCTTCAGCTGGAAAGAATAGTTTGTCAGCTGGGGGGGGCATATCTCATCATCCTAATCCATGAGTTAAAGATGAGCTGATAAAGCAGAAAAACTTACGGAAAAATACATGGAACAGAAACATTTGTGGGATACAGGGTACATCAAAAGATGACACTGATTAACCAACTACAGCTGTCTAAAACGGGTCAGCCAAACCCATAATGCAGGAGTTTGGCCTTCCACACACACAATTTACAAACTTTGCTCTAGTAAACCTACACTGACACAAATGAAAACTCAACCTGCTAACATCAACTGCTCTGCCTGCCCACCTGGCCGAACGGCAGTTCTCGCCCTTCTCGCCCCACCGCCACCCCCAGGCACGACCCTTTCCTAGACCGTTTTTTCCAGGGAACCACACGTACCGAATCCCTGGAAACATCCGCACGTGGCACACCAGCACCGCCAGGGCTGGGAGGGAGCCGGGCATGCAGGGCACGGTCAGCCAAGGCGCCCTAAAAACGCTGGCACGGCACGGCACGGCCCTGCGATCCCCGCCAGGCCGAAAGGAGACGTCGGCAGAGGAGGAAAAGGCAGCGGGTTTTAAATGGAAATTATTTTCACCAGTACAGATGTCCGTAGGGACCGAATTCAGCTGCTAATACAATTTGGCCAAGAGGAATAAACTATATTGATCTCGAGAGCTCAAATGCTTGCCAAGACAGTCCTTCTAGAGAATTACGGTATTTATTTCTTGTATCAATGACAATCGGCAAAAGCGTAACAGTGATTATAGCCCAGCCACTTTTTACACACATCTGTTAACTTCACGTTCTTCTGCTCATCTCTTGCTTCAGTTCACAATTACTCTCTTTTTTAAAAAACCACTGATCTTCTATTCTTGTTTCACACAAATACCTTTAATTACCGTCTGCAGTCACTCTGCATCTCAAGCTTTAGCTTTCCGTGACTGTCAATATAAAACCCTTCCTGTAATTGCTCCCACGCTCACTCAGCCTTCCCAGGACGCCGCTGTTCCCTGGCCTGGCCGGCGCACAGCTTTTCCCTGTGCCTGTGCACCAACAGCACCCACAGGTACAGCAACAGGGCCCCCTAGTGCACATGGTCGCACCGCTTCAGCGCTGGGGTCTGGCACAGACTTTTTTATCGTTATTATTTTTAGAGAGCAATAAATAAAGCCATACATAGATTTAATAGAATAAGAAATGCCAACGTTGGCACCTATAACTTGGCATTAATAATATATATTAGGGATTTATATCACTATAAACCTATTCCAGGGTGATTTACTTGAAGTAAAAAGCTTCAAAGACACTAAGACAGGCAGAGCAGGTGATGTTGCACATTCGGAAACATGCATTGTAATTATTTTGCTTGCATATTTCCACTTCATTTTATATTCACATTTCACCCATCCTTCCTCATTTCTCTGAGCCTCCTCTTTCTTATCTACAAACTGTCTTTGCCTGTTCGCTGGTTTCTCAGTTTCTTCGCCTGTTCTTTTTCATGTTTATTTGACGGGAGTCTCGATGCCTGACGCGGAGCCTTCTTGCTGGGACACACACTGACGCGCTGATCTCGCTCCCTCAGACATTATATCTGAAGATAAATTGGGAAATGAAGACGTAGAGCTGTTGGAAGAGACTGGCTTCCCCAGGCACTAGTTTAGCCTGGATCATTGGATTTACAACACCAGCACCGCCAACACTGATTTGACTATTAATCCCTGAAGTGCCCTAGGAATTGCAGCATAAATCCAGTGAAGGAGCACTCATATGGCCCTAAAGACCCATAGCGCTTATCCTGGTACTCCATTCATGAAAATTGATCTTTTCTTAGTAGCAATGACAACTCAAGGAGTCCATGCTTTGTAAAGCCAAGAGATCTGCTTGCTGTGGCAATGTACTTAACTGCCAGGAGGTCTGTGATACAAACCAATCGGTGCTCACACTTAATACTCTGCAGAGACCGGCCCTTTTTTCTTTACACACATACAGAGAGATCTACAATTTCATTCCCTGTTAGGCATCACTTCAGCGCCTTTGTGCTCCACAGCAGCACTCAACAAAATCATTGTGTTTCCTATATTCTGCCCCAGTAACTTGCTCCCTAAGTATCCTTTACCAAGCACTGCTTAATTATTTGCTAAGCCAACATCCCCCCCGTGACAAGAAAATAAACCTCTTCTGCATTTGGAGAACCATCATGTCTGAGCAGGGAGCAGCATGAGTTGGGACTAGGCTGGCAAGGAAAAGGAATTGGCTGCTCTGGTTTCAAGGTACCTCTGTGCTGTACGGTGAGCGGGACTTTGTCCTGTCCCAGGAGGAGAGAGGCAGCAATGTTATCAGAGGAGGTAAACCCCACAGCAAGCGGCATCTTCCTGATTTTATTGACCTTGATTGCTAGAAACATAGGGACAGATTTTAAACAAAGATCCCATGTTGCTGGGTGTGCAGTTACAGGCACGGTACGGCAGCATTTGACACACTGTTAGATGCTGGGAACAGCTGAACGGGAGCATGCGAGAGCCCGGTGCCCGCAATGGCAGCGAGGGCTGTGGCTGGAGAGGACATCTGGTGCTCAACTTACTCTCCCAAGTCAGAGAATTTGTTAATATAAGAGAGAGAAATAAAAGCCAGATGTCATTTTGAAAGACTGTTTCTTTGACTCTGGCTACAAATGATGTTAATTTTGCATCTGGATCTCTGCTGAAATAAACCTGTGACTTGCATAATAATAGTAACGTGACTGTTCAGACACCTAACAGAAGTTAAAGGTACTAAATGGTCCCTATCTAACTTAATCTAAACAGCTCATCTAACAATCTGCCCTGGCCACAGCTTCCCCCTTTGTAGAACCTCACAGCTGTGACAAGCAACATCACTTCCCTATTTTACATTCTCTTCTTTGGGACCCCAGTGCCAGCCACGCCAGGCGATAACCCAGACACGCTGGTATATGAGGGGAGGCTCCTCTTCCCAGCACACGCAGGGGTCTCGGTTACCTCCGGCAGCGCAGCCTCTGAAATCTGAGGTTGAGGCTGGGATGCGCTACCCTAACTGGCAGTGGGGGAGGTGATGACAGGAGGCTATTTCTTTTGATATGCCGAGGAGTATAAACTCTCTATAAAAGCTTTTTAGCAAGCGGAACTTAACAATTCCTCCCCCCCTTTTTTCGGCTCCCGTTTGCTGGAAAGGTTTTGACGCCCAATTCCCCTTGTCCCTCCTGCCTGCGCAGCGCGGAGGCCAGGCGAGGCCGGCGGGGGCGGGG